TTCTTAAGGAAGCCAGAAGTATACTTCATATCATCTCTTTATTCACCCTCCACCACCAGCATGGCTGGGACCCCTCGCTGAGGTGATGTGTCAGGGGAAAGAACTCCTGGACTTTGTCTGGACACAGCACCAAAGACCTTCCTTAGTACAGATGGCAATCTTCTCATCTGGGAAAATGCAGACCAGATATTCCTGTTCCTCTTACATTCTCAAGGCCCCTCAAAGAGAAATAGTAGGAGAACTTAGGATGTCAGGAAGAACAAAAAGCAAGTCTACAGCATCTCATGTTAGCAGGCCCTAAGTCAGCTATAGAAACCATTATGAATTTTCTCTTCAGATGAAATAGAGGACCACACAAATGACTCAACTAGGTTTCCCATCATCAGGTAAAAGAGAGATAAAAGCTCTAATATATTTGGAGGATAAAACATCCTCACAAGCCCAAAAGCTCCATCGCATGCTCTTGATCTAGAGAATAGATTTAAGGAAGGCATGAAAATAGCACTCACTGCCACCAAGTGTGTATCAGACAAAATACAAGGATGTGTTTCCACAGTTAACATGAACTTTGTAGACAGCATTGCCTCACCTGTGAGCAGCACCCCAGAGCTGTGCCACCCTCTGTGAGAGCTTCCCCTTTGCCACCTGGCTGCTCACACACAGCTTGGCTGCAGCCATGTGTCTGAACTTTGCTCTGTGTGTCCAGTCTCTGGTTCACGAAGCTCTAGGACTGGTTCCCACTCCATAGCATTAGTCTCCACTCCAGTCACAGGACCATCCTCCCCCACTCGTCCCACCCTTTACCCCAGACACCACAGCACTGTAAGCATCCCCCAGATGACACATTCTGCCTAACCCCGAGACTGTGCTTCTTACCCTGCTTCCTAGCCCAGGAGTGTCCTCTGATCCTGGACTTCAGCTTCACAAACTTTTATACTTGGCTCATACTTCGCATCCCTTCTCCTCACCAAAAATGATACCTAGAATCAGACCTGAAGCGAGAACAGCTTTTTGCACTTGCTGCATGCTTCATCCTGCAGAAGCAACAAATCTGAATGCAGAGCAGAGGGTAGTTCTGATGGACCTGATATTTCAGCAGGAGACCAAGGTACTAACTGAAGCAGCAAGGTTGGGCCCATCACAACTTCCTGTGTGTCCCACCAGCCTTCTGCTTAAAACACCTGCTGACTGGAAGCTGGCCAATGTTATTCCAGTGTAGAAGGGCATGAGGGAAGACCTAGGGAACTACAGAGCTCTTAGTCTAACCTCAGTTGCTGTAAAAAATATGGAAAAGATTACGCTGGGCTATGGGTTTGTGTAACTTGATATCCTCCGTGATAAGGTCACCCACTTAGTGGATGAAGCGAAGGTGATTGATGTAGTTTTTCTGTATTTTAGTAAGGTTTTTTGATACTGTCCCTCACAGCAACCTTCTGGACAAGTAGCCCAGCTGTGGGACGAGTAGGCTTATGGTGCACTGTGTGAATAACTGGCTAAAAAGCAAGGCTCAAATGGTTGTAGTGGATGGGGCTACCTCTGCCTGGATGCTGGTCACCAGAAGATAATACTGTTACCTCCTAAGATGACTTAGACTCCCTGTTCTGTGCCAGATCAGTGAGCCCACAGGCAAAATCTTGTCACTGCAGATGAAATTTTCAAACAGTTATACATAAACTCTCTCCCCAACCAAGAACCTAATCAGTTTTGATATTTAAGATTTCTGCTACACACAATAGGAAAAGGAAATGCTTTTCAAAGTCATCTACACTTAAATGCACAGCATCTCCAGTTTTTCTACTGTATCTGAGCAAATTGTCTTTTCTCATCTGGGATGTAGAAGCCTAAGGCCAGGCACCTCCTTTCGGTCTCCTGCACCCTCAGTGCAGGGTACACCTAGTCAACCATTTCCATAACATTGTGTCCAGGCAATGTTACATCTCTTCAGACTCACTCTCAACCAACTCCTGCTCCTCTCCTCAGCATCCCTCCTGATCCTCTCTCCAACACCACTGTCCTTTAAAGGGGCCCTCTCTGCCAGCAGCCCCCCCCGACTCCCCCACTCATGAGCCCACCTCTGCATCCCTCCAGGCCCCCAGTCTTGAGCAGAGCTGCACCCCATCACCCCCTCAGCTCTTCCCTCTAAGCAGCACCTTTCTCCTTTTCTGCACTCAACAAACACTGGCCAAAAGAACTACAGGGCTTGGGGATTTTGGATTTTTCCCCAAAAATCAATGAATACAGTGTGGTTAAAAGAACAAGCACTTCCAATTGATCAAATTGGTAGTTTTATTTCCACCTGTTAAAAGAACTGTTTGCCTACCAGCAGAGTCCAACATAGATGGGACAGACAGACATGAATACAATTAAATACAGGAAAAATTGAACTATATACAACAAGACATACATTTACATAATGAAAAAATCTTTATATTATCTATTACTTCTTGCCAATGTGAAACATCACTGGAACTCAAATATATTTGACTTTCTTTTTTTTCTCCTTCTAAAAAAAGTGTGTAATGCAATTTAGTTCTTATCCATGTAGCGAGAGCTTAAAATTCATTCTGAGATGCACAAAATCTGTGGCACTTCACAGGGTACACAAAAGCTAAAAACTTTTTTTTTGTTAAATATTTTATAGTTTGTGGTATCTAAATTTCAATAAGATCTATTTATTGAGACACAAACTATAAAGTGATATTTACATGGAGGGAGTTGTGCAAAGTTAATTTCAGGCTATGGCTAGAACACTGTGAAAGATGCACAGACCCATGACTCACCCCAGAGGCCATCCCTTACATCCTCTTTTTATCCCTCTTGTGCAGCAGCCACCCCAGAAAAACTGGCCACAACTTTGTTTTTTCCCCTTATTTTTTAAGCTCCTGGGAGAAGTCCATTTCTGTGACACTTAATTATCTTGACAGTTTTAATGTTGGGCTGCTTCCTTTCATGCAATCAATGCTTTAAGCCATCTTTAGTAAGGTTTCATATTTTTTATCTTTTGTGGGACCCAAATTACAGCTGTTGCTGTCACCACACTGCCCCAAGACTGCTGTAGTCATGTTTGTCATTTGTATTACCCCAATGGGAGCACACAGTAACAAGAAGTCTGTATCTTTTTATTAGTTACCACATTGCCACACTGCCTACCTCCTGGTAACAGGGCTGAACCAAAGCTATTTCAAACCAGGGTTGGGAAGGTACTGAATTACCTAAGCTAGCCTGCATGGAACAAAGCTCTGTCTGTATTGCTACAAAAACGTCCCTAAAAAGCCTAATAAAAGAAAACCCTTTGCCTTGGGGTTGCAATCTTCAATACAGAGCTTGAGACAGCTAATTAGAAGAGTTGTGCAAAAAAGAGCTTCCACAGATCCCTAGGACAGGTTTGCAAAGACAGAGCAGATACCAATGTTAACTAAATGCATCCTACAACTGCGCTGCACCAGAGCACCCAATGGCACTTCTAATGGTTTTCATAATCAACTAACTGCCAGAAGGCATCTGAAGTTTAATTTTGGGCTTTTTTTTAACAGACCAAATAGATGCAGCTATTGCTTATCTGGATCATAAAATACTAATTTTAATAATCTTACCCACATTTAATTACTATAATCCTGTTTGTATCAGCTCAGCTGGGACTCCACATCAGCTTGCAGATTTTTGCTGTAACAGGTTTAAAGTTGACAATTATACTCAGTCCTGGAAAAAAACCAACAACAAGCCAAAGGTGTCTGGATAACAGTGCATAAACCTGCGTATTCCTGCCTTGCTACAATGCAGAAATGATCTCTCCTGGCAGATGTATCTGACTTCTGTTCTTTGTTAAAAATCTACATTTGCAGAAAGCTGGACAACCCTCAGGGCAAAGGGAGACTAAACTTTTCTCAAAAAAGCTGCCAAGTCAAAACTGCTATCAAACAGCTTTTAAAGCCTTCACTTCCTAAACTCATGGCAATAGAATTATTTAATTTGTAATCCTATACTCCAGGCTGAAACCAGTCAGGTGTCAGTACAATAACTGAAGAAAACAGGAAAGTGAACACACTGAACTTTAAGCATTACGCTGGGTACACGTGATCCAGTAACAAGAACTGTTGGTCGTTTGGTATTCAGCTGACAAGAGGAAAGCACACAATTTGCTTCTTATGCATCACTAACAAGCCTAGAGAAGTCTATATCCTCCTTAGTTATCCAGAGTGCCTATAGAAGAGTAAAGCCAAGAGACCATCTCATCCAATTAGAAAATAAATTCAGTGTTGTGATTCTAATACAGGAATTCTTGGCAGTTAAAATATTCAAATAAGTATTTTCACATTGTACATGTTGCAATTAGTCTACCTACTTTAGATCTCATGGAGTTCAGACATCTACATGTTCAAGCATTCTGCTTAAAACACCTGATTGCTGGTTAACAGCAGGTTATTTTATTGCGTGGCCCTGGCTGTCAATTCCATTTTCATTTATGAGAAAACAATCCATCATTACAGAACTTACTTCTACTTGGGCAAAGATGGTATAGCAGAAAGGAACAGAGTCATGAGCTTCTCACAGCATAAAAAAAAAAAAAGGGTCGTGAAATGGCAAATGGTTCATCTGTATCCTCAAAGGGAACTATATATGCAACAGTGGGAAAG